GAAGGTCTCATTAAATCACTAAGTACCCTAGGCTGGGCTTGAACTTGCAACCTTTCTCCTGCCTCAGCTTCTCAGAGTGCTGGCATTACAGATGTGCACTGCCACCTCAGGCCTATGCTCAGCTTTGTTGAAGACCTCATGCTACATCACAATAGGGTAGAAAAACAGAAAAGAAACAGGAACATGTGGAAGAGTGTGCCAACAGGAAGTAGAGGGGTAGATGGCTAAGTCATCATGGTAATTAGTCCAGGCCCACAGGTAAGTAGTGAGACCCAACTCTCCCTAGGGACCACACCCAGTCTTGGGAGATCCCAACCCAGACTCTAGGAAGACAGTACCCTGTTGGTATCCCCCTGACCTGATAACCTCTGAAAGTCCCCACCTCTCAATGCCATTGCCCTGGCAATTCATTTTCAGCAAGAATTTGGCCAGGGATAAACCACACCACAGCCATAGTGTCTACTTTGCTGTCTCTTATCAACACAAGAATTGGTACCTAATTCACCAGTGCCATATGCACTTGGAAAGTATTTTTAAATTTATTGAACACTCATGGTACTCTGGGCTTACATGAGGAAAGAAAGAAGTAAGTGAACTGGCATTGTTTGCTTTTTTAGATGCTAGAAATGGAACCTAGAGCATTGTGCACACCAGGCAAGCCCTCAGCACTGAGCCAGCCCCACCAACATCTGCATGGTGTTTTATTTTCTCTTGGCCTTAGGCCGTTTAGTGGCCTCTGTGTTGAATGTAAATACTGACTCATTTAACATGTTCACAGTATATTATAATTCATATGTCTTCCTACCAAGTGGCCCTGTTTTGAATATGTTATGGTTTAAGCTGGTAGGAATATGTTAATTTCATATTAGACATATTAGGAAAGAATAATAATAATTATTATTATTATTCTACTTTTGATGGGGAAATTGAGGCATGATGAGGCTAATGAAAAGGCTAAATTCACCTATCTAGCAAGTGGAAAAGCCAGGACTTAGATCAGCCTGTGTGGCACCAGATTCTGGTTGGTCACTGTGCTAGCTATGTGTCATATAAAAAAAGAATCAAATTTATTAGAGATGTATTTCTCAGAAGTTAAAGATTTAATTCTTAGAGGGTTAACATATAAATTCATGTGGATATTCTACTTATTATGTAACTCCGGTTTTCCACACAGATGAACAAATGGCCTGTGTGCAGTTTTGGTCACACATGTAACAAGTATAGATGCTCTGGTGTTCAGTGAAAGAAACAGCATTTATGTTCGTCCCTTATCTTTGTCACCTGCCTTCATTGTCCCTGCCATTTAAGTTTGAGGCTGCCTCCTGGCAGGAAGTATTCAGTATACTATCTTTGAGGGCTGATTTTATGCTTCCTTGGCCCTGATCCTTGTTTGTCCCTGTATTGGGTTAAAGACCCAAGTTCTGTGATACATCACACTGGAGAGTGTATGAGTGCTTCTGCTTCACTTTTCCTGCCTATTTCACCTTCTTCCATTTTGGTAGTGTTTATGAAGTTAGGATTAAGCTAGGCTGGGTGGTATACTCTAGGAGGCTCCTGCAGGAGGATCATAAGTCCCAGCCCAGCCTAGGCAACTTAGTGACTTAAGGAGACCCTGTCTCAAAAGAGAAAATTAAAAAATGTTTAGGGACGTAGCTCAGTGCAAAGCCCTGGATTCAATCCCTAATGCTGAGGGGAAGAAAAGAAAAGAATTTAAGGTTAGAATGTTTTCCACTGCAAAATTTCAATGCAAAACTGCTGTGCAGCTGGGGGTGTGGCTCAGTTAGAGTGCTTAACATCTAGGACCTGGGTTCTACTCTAGCACTGTAGTGGGCTGTGGTGTTTTGTAAGAGGACCTTAGAAGGCATGAGTTGCATTTATAGGTTTATTTTTCAGCAAGTGTTGCTCTTGGCAATTTATCTACCATCTTCTTTATTTTTGGTTTTCTATTTGTTTTTATTTTTTTTGAGACAGGGCTTACTACATAATCTAGGCTGGCTTTGAATTCATTGTGTAGCCCCTGCTGACCTCAGACTCATTGTAATCATCCTACCTCAACCTCCAGGTGCTGGGATTAAGGGGATATGGCACCACACCTAGCTTTCCTTATTTGTGTTTTATAGGCAAGAGGGACCTGAAGTTCAGAGAGTTTAAGTAACTTGCCAGTGGTCACACCTGGCAAGTTTGGTTTTCCACCTCTGAGCTATCAGTTTTTTGTTTTGTTTCATTTTGTTTTGAACACACTTTTGCTTCCCTCCAGAGATAGAAGGTTTTGCTGGGATCTGCTATTCAACTAGGGCTATTGTGGTCCTCTAAATCATAGTGAACGCACCCTACTCTCTGGTTTGCTGAGCAGCTTCACTGTTCCCTCTCCCCAGGGGCTACGCCGTGGCCAGCAGCAGTGAGGACCGCATGAATGAGCCTCCCACCTCGCTGGGGCTTGTGCCCCACCAGGTCAGTGATGGGATGAAAGCAGGGCTCTTTGCTTGTGTGCAGGATGGGGGAACACTTGGGGTCCCTTCCCTGTCTCTGCACAACCCATTCAGTCTGCAGCCAGGATTTCAGAGGGAGCCTTTGTGACCACCTAAAATGTGTGCTTTCTAGGGGAACCCACAGGGAAACACTGGGACCCTGGAGTATGGCCAGATCTGATGCATTCTACCTGCTGACCCAATGGGAATGGAAGAGCAGGCTTAGCCATCAGCCAGACACTGGCTGGAGTCCCAGCCATGTGTGCAGGAAGGTACCCTTCTGGCCAGAGCACAAAACCTCTCCCTTGACTTAGTCTGTTCTCTGTAAACAAGGTGGACCCCCCCCCCCAAACGCCATGGGCTAGCGTCTAGGACAACAGTGTGAGGGTCCCAAGGAGTGATACCTGCTGCTCTTGTTACTGCTGTTTGTTTTTACAACTTCCTACCTAGCTAGAATGAGAAGACACCTAGGAAGGCATTGTTTCCCCCAAAGTGTGTGGGGGGTTCTTTTCAAAAATAGACCCTGAAGCATCCTATGGAAGTTCTATCCCTTAGGGACTGACCACAAGAAAGCAGAGGGACACAGTGTGAGACCTGGATGGCCTGTTCAGGAGTGTACATCACTAGATGTTTCAGAGGGAGCGAGAGGGTCCTGGAGGACAACACTCTTGGTTCTTCCATGCTGAGTGTGAGCACCTTTAGGGCAGCAGTGGCTGTGCCCCTCAGCATCTGGTTCTGTTCTGGTTTTGGTGCATGCTAACCCTGTGCTCTGTCATGAGCTGCATCCCACCATCCCATCCATTTGGTGCTCCAGGACAGACTCCTGTCTTGCTCCCCGTGCCTGTCCATGTCTAGGCTGGCCCTGTGCTTTTCCAGTTGAGGAGGGAAAATGACCCAAGCAGGTCATGGGGAGGGTTGCAGGCTGCTGTCCAATCCCCACACCTGCCCTCTCTAATGCCTCATTGGGAGCCTCAGCTCTTGGTCCTCACACTTTACACCACACACCTGGCATTGGATTCTCACCTTCCTGTGCCCCATGTCTGTATCAGTGAAAGCAGGTGTTCTGACTGTGTCTAGGAACCCACCTGACATGGGTTGTGACCACAGAGCCTTGAGGAATGTGACCTTCCCCAGCTCCTGATAGGGGCCCCTGGATGCTGACCTCCAGGCTGCCTTCCCTGTCCCTCAAACCTTGAGCCGCATCCTCATCTCCTTTACAGATTTGTGCTAAGAAAGGCCTTAATTAAATTTTCAGTCATGCCCTGCTCTGGTTTCCTTCTTCAAACCCTTTATGTTTAATTACTGCAGTTGTAGTTTTCTCAGTGCTGAGGCCAGAGGGCAGAACCCACTCTTTAGAGAAGGGGCCAGTGTCAAAATGCATGTGCCCGTGTTTTCCAAGTGCTATGGCAACTAATCCCTCTCGTGTGACTGATCCCCACAGAGCCTGGTGATTGTTTGTCATTCAGCAGTCCTTCCAGTTCCCTCTCCTCCTTTTTAGCTGCCTGAAGGATTATTTTGGTTGTTGGCCATCTCATCATTTGGTCTTTTCAAAGACTGAAGAATAACTCGGCCATATATGGGAAAGCCTTGGGGTGTGTGTGTGTGTGTGTGTGTGTGTGTGTGATCACTTGTTTGCACTATTTCAGGTTTCAAGCCTTTATTTTTAGCTACATTCTAAAAAAGAAAGTGAAGAGAAAATTTAATCAGGGCTGTGCTGTCCATTTTTAGTGTTTATACAACTTTTTCTTAAGCACATGCATCCACTTCTGCAACTGTATTTTGATTAGGGGAACATCCTTTGCACAAAAACAGTACCTAGTTGCCAAGTCAGCACTTCACTCTTCCCTTTCCTCCTCACCCTCCCCCACACCCTTCTTTCTCCCCTCCCCCTTATGCTCCCCACCCTTTCAAGATAAATGGTTTCCTGTTGGAAGGAATTCAGTAAACTCCTTTGTGTAGTTTGCATGTGAAGAACGACCAGCCAGGCTCTCTTGGCTCATTTTTCTCAGTGCCCCAAAGGAGAACTTTTCTTCCTTGTCTCCTGCTGAATGAAATGCAGTCTCACAGAAAAGCAGCAGTTCTTTGAATGAGACTCACACAGCCCCCACCAGCAGCTCCTTATGTAGTTCGGAGAAAGTTCCTTAGTTCCTCCGAGTGTTCCCTGGTCCCTGTCCTCTGGGTCAGAGCTGAGAGGCCTGAGAATTACTTGTCCTTCCCTCTGTGGGCTAGGACAGAACTCAGCCCATCCAGAGATTGGCTAAGTACACATCATTGGACCCTGAAACTCAATGAATTTCTGCTCAAAGAAACCTCTTAATGACTCTGAAAACCGTGAAAACCATTTAAGGTGGGAAAATGGGCATAGGGGTCTTGGGTTTCAGATGTTTTAAATTTTTTTTTTCCTTTCTTTAAATTTTGTCCCCAAGTATGTGATTTGCCAAGCAGACAGCAAGTATGAGCTACTTTCTGTCTAAAATGAAAGTGAATCTTCAAAAAATCATTTTAGCCAGGTGTGGTAGTATACGTTTGTAATTGCAGTACTTGGAAGGCTGAGGCAGGAGGATTGCCATGAATTCAAGGCCAGCCTGGACTATAATGAGTTCAAGGTTAGCCTGAACAACATAGTGAGACTCTATATCAACAAAGCAAAAAGAATATTTTATCAATGAATAAATTCCCACCTGTCACTAGTGTACAACTTGACAGATTACTGCAAAATGAACACAGCTGTGGCAGCACACAGATGAGAACTATGTGGTCAGGCACTTGCCCGCCCATGCAGATGTAAGCATCTTTTTTAGGGGAGACAAGGGTTCTGTAGTCCAGGGAAGCCTTGAGCTCAGTCTTCTGCCTCTGTGGCCCAAGTGCTGGATGACAGGCATGTTGAGGGCTAAGCATCTCTCACTCTCAGCCCTGTGGGAGACTTTCATCTGACTCTGACATTCCTGTAAATGGTCCCACGGTAATGCACTCTTAATCTGGCTTCTTTGGTGGAGAACTTTGTCACTGTAGTTCCTAGCATAGTGATGGGTTCCCTCTGCTTCCCAGCTCCTAAGATCTTTTACTGAGGGCCAGATCCTTCTGGTCCGTTGGTGGTTGGTACCATTCAGGTGTTATGAAAGGCATGGCCCACTCCTAAGGTCTGAAGGAAGCTGGAGTGCAGGCTGGTGAGACACCCTGACCAAAGTGCAGGTTAGTGGCCAACAGCCATGCCAAGCCATGATTAGACCCTCAGTGACCACAACAGTTATCCACACCCCAAGATCCTGAGTAATGCTTAGTCCTGTTTGTGCTACCAGCAGTGTACACACTTTGTCCAGGGTAAATATACTCTGGCCTCTAAACTGCTGAAGACAAGACCCTGGATGTGGTTGACCCTCCTCTTGGTCAGGGCTTGCCACTCTTACAGATCTCTGGAGCTCTTGAGTTCTTTCTTGTGGTTTGTTTCAAGAAAGTAGAATAAAGTCAACTAGGGCAGGAGGCTGCAAATGCCAATGCCAGGCCTGGGAGTCTAGTGATAATGGTGCCAGAACCTCAGGCCATGCCTTGGGCTGCTGCTGCTTTGACCTCTCTGCTCAGGCTGGGCCCCCAGATCCTTAGGCCTTTTGCTTCTAACAATGTCTCATGTTTTTTGGCACTAGGAAATACCAGTGTCACTGTGTATATGGCCCAGTCATCCCATCTCCCTGCCCCATGCAGCTATACTGGCAGTTGCTTCCCACATACCAAGTTCAGAGAAGTTCAGAAGTAGCACAAGGCCACCAGCGTTTGATTCCTCTGGTCTTATAGCCATCTAAGGTGGATGAGAGATGCAAGCCATGTAGGTACAATGGAGAGGACGGGTCTGGGTAGATCTGACAATGTCTGGGCTGCTTCTGGGAGGTCCCAGATAAGAAAGGGGTTCTTCTCCAGAGGACAAATCCTCAATGAAGCCAAAGTCTGAAACATCTCAGGGTGATGGCTCATCCCAGGAGGAGCCAGGCCTCCTGTGCCAGTTGAAAGATGTCACTGTGCTTTGTGAGTGTTGCTCATGAGATGAGACTGTCCTGAGGCTGCCCCATGTGGGGTTCCCATGGGAGGGTGTCTTAGTTACTCTTCTCTCATTGCTGGGACAGATACTCGACAGCCAAATTGAGGGACGAAAAGGTTTATTTAGCTCACAGTTACTGGAGGTTTCAGTCCATATTCAGCTGGGTCCAGGCAGAGCGGCACATGACAGAGAGCAACCTTTCATAGCAGTGGCAAAGAGCAAGCACCTAAAATCAATGCCACGTGGATGACACCAAGGTCTGCTGCTGGCTGGATCAGTAGCCAGGTTTTCCTCTCTCTTGGCTGTAGGGGTCGAGTGCCTGGATGGCTGAGCACTGACCCTTATTGGGAGGAATAATTTCTCCATGCTGGTGCCATTCTGGAACCTGATGTGGCCGCTGCCACCATTCTGTAACTTGGGGCTCTGCAGATTTCCTCTCAAGGCAAAGTCCCTGACCTTTGCAGTTCTGAGGCTGCAAAGGGTGGAGACCTGCCTCCTTCTGTGATGCCCTCAGGCCATCCCTTCCATTCTCAGGTTCCTTCCTGGCAGTGGAGATCCTCTCAGCTCCATCTTTGCCGTCCACAGCTTTATTGGAGCTTTCTTTCTGGCCAAGCTCACATTTTAAATCCTCCTGATGGGCTCCTTGCTCTTGATTCTCAACATAAATCTGGCTAAAAGTCCCCAGTAACAACCAGGCCACTGCCCCAATATTTGACTGCTTTGAAATATCTTTTGCCAGATGCATCAGTCCGCCATGCTTAAACTCACTCTCAGGCAAAGTCCCTGCACACAAGCAAAATGCAGACAACTTTTCTGCCAAGTCAAAACACAAATGATCCAGAGACTAACAACCAAGGTAGTCCTTCTTCCCAGCAGAAACTTCCCCAGCCTGGTCTTTACAAGTCGGTTTTCTATCAGCCTTCTGGTCTTCTGAGCTCTGGCCAGAATCTCCC